TAATGTAAAATTGATTTTAATCTCCTGTTTTCTTTCTCGGAGGGGATCCCTCCTGTGTTTACCTAATTGTTAGAATGAGTCCTGGTCTGGGATCCCCCCTTAGGTCCCCCCCTCCCACTCACACCCCTGTTCACAGTGCGGGGTCATGTAGGGGTGAAGCTCCTGGTACCTCAGGAGGTTATTCAGAAGTCAAGCCTCGCTGAGGCATTCACAATGTTGAACTGCGGAGCGGGCAGACGCTCCGTCAACGCCGGGCTGCTGACCACTCAGCAGGCCCTTTGGGCCGCCCTGCTAATGGGACAAGCCCCCCCCCCCCCCCCCCGCCCCCAGCTCCACCGTCCTTGTAACGGCGACCCATAAAGGAACACAGGAGGATGCTAACCAAGATGAATGGCATTTTTTCTCTGCTCATTCTGCGCTAATCAGAGCTTTTCATTTGTTACGGCCTCACGCCAGCCCCTCCGCCGCAGCTTCCATTAGGGCCAGATAACATATAAATTCATTAAAGTCAAAGAGAGGCATTAAAATGGTCATTTGTCAGGTCTCCCTTTGTGTGTCCCTAATGGTGGCACATGGTTCAAGGCATTGAGATGATTTTAGATAAGTTTTTTTTCCTTCCCTCGCTCACAGGAAGAGAAGGACGTGGGAACAAAGAAGAAGAGATCTAATGCAAAGTCCAACATTGTGTTCTTTTACACGTTTTCTGACATAAGCATTAAAAAACATTCAAAGTCTTTGCTTCCCCCCTCTGCGTATTTTCACTTTTGCATGCTTAATAACATTTTTCAGATGTGGATTTCTTTTTTTTTTTCATGTCAGTTACATCAAATGTTTTATTTGGATTATCTAGTCCATCCATCAACTTCAGATTGCAGCTCCCCCACTCCAGAACAAACTCATCGTCAGTGAGGCAACCCTTTGCGCTAATCCCTTTGTATTCACAGTCACATTCCCGCCAAACAATGTCCTAAAACCTAATCCTAAACCAAGCTCAACAAACCTACAGGCCACCTGTTTACAAGCACAGAGGAGCTAAATAACCCAACAGTAAAAAGAAATAACAAACCACCACCTTTCAAACATTTTCAAGTACAATGGTGAAAAAAATCACCCGTTCATCAATGCATTGGTTTAACACAAATTCCAAAGGATCAAAGTTTATTTGCCTTTTGCCGTTTCTGTTTCTGGCGGTCTGGATGAAGGTTCTGGCAGCGTTGTCATGGGAGATGATTCTCTCCATCTGCCTCCACTGTCAGTAACCCATCTCCATCATGCTTTATCAGAAGGAGCTGCACCGCCCCCCACCTTGCTAGAGCCCCTTCCCCACTCTGACCCCCCCTCCCCTCTCCCTATACATAAGCCTGAGATGATAAGTGTCCTGACTCTTTGTGCGGCCAGGATAAGACAATGCCACACAGCACTACAGAACATCATCCATCTCACGGCTCATCAATCTGGCACACAAAAGATGAAATGTGGCTTGGGCGAAGCGTTCTCTCTTTGCTTAGAAGTAGCTTGTTTTTTCAACTCTTTTTATCTTTTTTACTACATTTGTGGACGATTAAGACCTTTATCCTCTGCTGTGTAAAGAATCGTTAGACTATAGCACCAAAATGGGACAAAAATAACTACACCAACAAAAAGTGTCTTAACTGTCAAGTATCGTTTAGCTTAAAAACAACTAAATTGAAGTTGGAAGTTAAAAAGTGTCTTGGCTTGAGTGTCCTGGGCTAAAAACTCTGGTAACTTCATCTGCCTTCTGTTTCTTCTCTTCATTAGGCTTGCATTGTCCCCAAACCAGCATGCTGCTTCATTTCTTTGTTCACTTCACGCAGAGCTTTCATTTCCAAATGATTTCTCTACAAGCTATCATGGTGATGGTGATATTTGAAAAACAGTTTGCAGTGGAATTTTTTTTTTAACGGACTACAGTTTGAATTCTTCTGAATACAAATATGTTATTGAGACAGCTTTTGCTCTGAGTGTTTGAAAAAAACAAATCAAAATGTATTTTGGGCAAATCATGACGTAGAAAAGGGTAACGAGAAAAGTTAGGCCTTTATAAATGATAACATATTCAGATTTAAATTTCCAGTTGCCATAGTATAGTTTTTTTTTTTCAACACAACATGTTTCAAGAATCGCCTGTATGTTTAAAGGTTTGGGGCAGTCATTTAATCAATGCATTTGCAGTGGTCTTTAGTACAAATGAATGCCTTGGAAGCCGTACTCAGGGGGAAAAAACAAGTGCCTGGTTCAGCAGAGAGTGGCAGAACACAGCAGGATTTTTGGACCCTTATTTCCTAATATTTAGAAAGAAAGAAAGAAAGAAAGAAAGAAAGAAAGAAAGAAAGAAAGAAAGAAAGAAAGAAAGAAAGAAAGAAAGAAAGAAAGAAAGAAAGAAAGAAAGAAAGAAAGAAAGAAAGAAAGAAAGAAAGAAAGAAAGAAAGAAAGAAAGAAAGAAAGAAAGAAAGAAAGAAAGAAAGAAAGAAAGAAAGAAAGAAAGAAAGAAAGAAAGAAAGAAAGAAAGAAAGAAAGAAAGAAAGAAAATTATCTTTTATATAGCGCCTCTCAAGATAAAAATCATGAGGCGCTTCACAAGAACAAAATAAAGTAAATTAAATATATATATATATAAACAAATATGGTTAAAATGAGAAATTAAATTGTGATTAAAAATGTAAGGAAACGGAGAGACAAAATTAATAGGAAATCAGTGGATCCCAGGAAAGGCAGAATGAGTAGAAAGAGCAGACTAAGGAGAGGGTAATGGTGGAGGTCACACCAAAGCCAGTCTGAACAGGTGAGTCTTCAGCTGCTTTTTAAAGGAGACCACTGGGTCCACTGATCTCAATATCAGAGGGAGAGAGGTCCAGAATCTGGGGGCCACAGCAGCAAATCTGTCACCTGGCCCAGCCATCCAGGTTTTAATAGAGTCTAAGCAGATGTGTAACAGATGTAGCTTGGACATCTCATGAGACTTAAAGGAGACGTACAATTGGATGTCATCTGCATAAAGATGGTAGGAGATTATTTTAAAAGAGCTCAGGATGTGCTGGAGAGGCAGATAGATGAGGAAGAGTAGAGGCCCCAGCACAGAACCTTGCGGGACACCCTGAGTTAGGGAGGTGGTGGAGGACCTAAACTTGGAGACAGCCACAGAGAAGGTACTCTCAGACAGATAAGAGGAAAACCACACCAGAGCACTTCCTGATAGGCCTACCCAGTCTCTCAGCCTATCCAGTAGAAGGTTGAAAAAGCACTGACATTTGCAACAATCCATTGAGATTTTTAACGCGCTCTGTTTCAAATAGTTACATCAATATTTTGCCTAAATATTACAACATGTAGAAAGCAGAATTGACTTGTACATGTTGGTTCAGTTAAAATACACACCAAATTGTAGAACAATGAGACCAAAAGCCTTAATCCATTTTGCTCTAATGTTCCATAAACCGGTCCTTATCAGTCTAACCTGGTAATCTGCTATCCACGTCTGTGCGTTAGCAGCTTTCCACACAATCAATATGATGAGCCTTGCACACCCAACATTAATTTAAAGCACCACTCCAATCAGACTCTTATTTTTGAACATATGGTTTATGCTTTCAGCACATATTAAGGCTCTGTAGGATCGCTCAGTCACAATGTAAACTTGCCTGGGACGTTATTAGGACTGCTAATGGTAATTTCTTAACATTTTTTTAATCACAATTGCCCATTTTTGCTCATTTTAAACATATTTTTAAACATTTTCTAAATGCTTTTTTATATTTTTACATTTTTTGTTTTTGTGAAGTGCCTCATGATTTTTATCTTGAGAGGCGCTATAGAAATGATGTTTTCTTCTTCTTCTTCTTCTTCTTGAGCAGCTGAGATTGCTGATTGGGTTTCAGACTGGGCTGTAGGTTAGACTCCGGGCAGATGGTTGACCTTTACATTAGCCTTCACCTTACAGTAATAAGTTAAGACAGACTAGGGGCTTGTTCTTTTTGAAAAGAGCTGAATCGGACCACCTCAGGTTAATCTCAGAATGGCCTGAAAGGCCCACAAGGGATTAGGCCCAGTGTGCACCTGCTGCTGATTTTTAACACACAGTGTCTTTCACTACTGAGACCAAAGCATTTTTATAACACACAGATGAAGTAAATGATTTTGAAAGCATTTTCAATCAGAAATTTACTTTAAAGCTAGCATATAATGTCACCATATGGACACATCCTTCTTTTTTGCTTTTGTGACACTTTAAGAAAGACCAAAAATTCAGTTATAGTCACTGCAGACCAAGTGATAGGACATGTGGTTATGATATTAATGTAGAATTCACACTAGATGTGAAACCTCAGCACCACATTAGCCTGGTGAAAGAAGAACCTGCCAAATCTGACGAAGAGGCCATGACCAAATTGCCCTGTAGGAGGTTTAACATGGGTTTCAAGTCAAATAGAGTTATAAAAGTTTAGTTATTTTGAATTATTTAAACGTTTTCAATATCAACTTGCTTAAGGTGCATAGCTGCTCCACTTGAGCACAAACCGTATCACGATCATATTATGCACCCTAATGTACTAAACGTGTTTGTGTATAACTTGGCACAATTACAAGACAATCACAACTCAAGGTCCTCTTGTTTGTTTGACGTGTGCTTTGACAATGTTGTTGAGAAACATGAAAAGTCACTATAAGTAATGTTTCAGTTTAGAATTTCATAGAAATCATGCAATGTTCAAATTTTGCTCTCATATAAGACATATCAGTGTACACCTCTGCGTAAAATCTCACAGATGTGGGCTTAAAATATTCAGAAATTACTGTATAATTAAAAGTTTTAATGCGTGAAAGTCTTGTTATATGCCTTCACGCGCATAGATTATTAACTGACTGACTTCTTTTTCGAAATCAACTTGAGAAAACATACCACTCTGCCAGGCACGCTGTGCAATTCTGCCCTCTTGTGGCTCACTTGGGCAACCACAGCTGTTATGCAGAATTCTGGTCACTTACCCCTCGGCGGCACCCGTAGATTTACGGTAAATACAGACGTGTATTTAGGTGTCTGATGGGTAGTCTCTCACGGAGAATGTGACTCGTCGTTTAGGTAACAGTTTTTTTGCAAAGTTACACTGATGAGTTCAAAGGAAAATGTCATCCGACTTAATGCTAGACTTGGGAAATTGTCAACAATCGTCACTGATGGATAACGACTCGGGCATCTTGTCCATCGACCATGGAGGAGAGTGGGGTAAGATATGATTCTTCTAGAAACAACCACACAGGAAGTTAGCAACACGTCGCTATTTTACAAAGAAAATGTTTAGTAAATGACTGGGGAATATTTTAACAGGTCCCTTTTTAAAATTACCAGATTGTATTTGAAGTATACGTTTTGAAGATAGTTTCAGTATCATTTATGTCTCAGCTAGCCGGTTAGCATTAGCTAACCGTGGATGCTAAGATGCAAATATTAGCATCTTGACTAAAACTTAAAGTGCCGTATCTTAGCAGGTGTAAGAGGAGCACTGGAAACTACTCGGTTTTGAGGTTAAAAGACGTTCCAAAGTGTTCCACGTGTTTCGCATGATGTAACGATTATGTAACGTTGCATACAGGAAGACTATTCACATATTAACCATGTAAAAGCAGACCACATGACATGATTAGAAACGAATGAGTTTGAAATCAGGAAGTTTTGTTTGCTGTGAAACCATAATTGTTCTTTAAATGTTCAAATGGGCCACGTGGTTTTGTCTTAAAAGCACTGGTCTAGCATGTTGGAGCAAGAATTAATAAAGAGAACTGAATAAGTAAAATAACGTGTGCCTCTCTTTGATGATTATATCAGATTGCTGATGTAACTGTGTAGCAATTATTGTTGACAGGGTTGTTTCAAGGCTTCAGTTAACCCAAACATTATACATCATTAAAATATTTGAAGGACAGAGCAAAGACAGTTTACATGTCTTACATAATACTGCATGCTTGATGATGTTTACATTTGCAAAACAAACTCCATCCAATAACAACTAACCTATAAAGTAAGTTCAAACTGCATAGCATCTCTAAAATCTTGTCTACTTATAATGTGCACAGTAAATCTATCCAACATAAAGACACACTTACACAGATAAACAGTTTATCATTGCATTTCTGTAATAAGCTGTAATCGTCTGGCCCTGAGGCAAATGCTTTGTTTGCTTGCTTTGTTGAGATGGACCTGATTGTAAAGCGCTGTTGCTAAATACCTGGTATTTTATAGTACGTTATGGTTTTTCCTGTAATCAATGTTTTCATACAACTAACAGCTTGTGCCCTTTTCAACTAAACAATTTACAAGAGGGGAGTAGTATTAGTTTTTTTTTAGAAACATGGCATTAAAAATTTGACAAACTACCATTTCATCAACAGAAAAAATGTTTATACACAAATTGCCATCCTTGACATCTCCTGTCCTGTGTTTTGGCTAAAACCATTAGATCCAATGAACATCAAGTCAAATAAAATAAATGTTTTGCAGTTCTAGTTAAATGCATGATTTTCTTTTGCTGAGACATAATAATCTCGTTTATCATAAAAAAGGTTCCCTGCTACTGGAAAAACATGTTAGTCATAGCATTTTGAGGATATTGCTACAGAAATGAATGCTTTCCTCAGCCTGAAGTCAGGACTAACATCAATTTACCACAACAATGCAGTGTTATTTTCAGATATCGTTGCCTAAAGCCATACTCTTCCAACATTTCACACAAACAGGAAAAAATGCTCAAGGGTGAAGGGCAATGCTCTGAGACTCTTTTCCTATCTTACCTTTTAAATAAAGCTGGATCACAGTCCGTCATCCTAATAAACTTAAACTTTTAAACAGGCCAGGAAGCATCAGAAAGTACTCCGGCATCTATAGTTCAGACCATCTCAGTGTTACTAGTTTACAAAAGCATCAGTTATATGGCTTTATTTATAAATCCACCCAGTTAACATTTTAAATTCGTTCTGCAGGTTCAAATAAAAATCAGAAATTGTGGGGGGAAATAAATACCCGTGTGTTATTTTGTACAATGCCTGAAGCAATCCTTTTATTGTTAACTGCTAAATAAAGTTAAATCAAAACAAACTTTAAAAATGTGATTTGTGCATCTAAATTTTATTGACAAAACACTTTTTGGATGCAAAAAGACTTGTACTTCATGTCATGTTTGCAGTTTGTTTTCTTTCTTTTGTCATTTTTACTTTTGTCATTTTTAATTGGATTAAAACCAGTTGGATTGGTGTATTTTTGTTCTGCTACACAGATATAAGCTTGTTTGATGAGCTGGGTAACCTGGGGGATGCAGACGAGCTGCTTGAAGCTCTGGAGAGCGGCGGCTATGTGAGTAACCTCTGAATAAAGATGGAAAACAATGTTTGTTCACACTACAGGTTTATGTAATAGACTCATAATTCTACATTTGTTTTGGGTCCTTGCTGTATTTTACTTGAGGTTAAACGTTTTTCAAAGATCCTCGTTTGATTTTCAGGCCAACGCAGGTCCAGATCTGGACTTTGACATCGATATTCCTTCGTGGGATGAAATTGAACCAAGAAGCACCTGCACAGGTAAAGTAACACTAGCATGACCATGCGTGTCACATCTGGATTAGAACATTCATTTATTTCACCTGAATGGAACAATATTGGTACAAGTGGTTTTGTTCATCTGTTGGTAAAATATAGGGATGCACCGATCAGGTTTTTTGCTGCCGATCACCGATACCGATATCAAAGAATGCTGATCACCGATCATCGATACCGATCACGTGGATTGGCCAGAAATTTTCTACAAGATTATGTAGTTTGTAGCACTCATTATAATCTGGGAATAAAGGAAATGTAACCTAATCTAAAATGGTCTGATCGGTCTGCTTTGATCTATTTTGAAAACTCTGATCAAAACCGATAGGGGTGCTATCGGCCGATTGGGATCAAATGCCGATCCATCGGTGCATCCCTAGTAAAATAAACAAGTTATGGCTTACTCCAACTTCACACTGGAGGCATCAGCAGTGCGGTATGGCGTGCTTCACTGTGCATCAGTCTACACCGGGAGAGTCTCAGCTGCAGAACGACTTCTCCGCCATCTTTCTCGCTGGACTCGTGGGAGCACAAAATCCCTCAAGATTTCAAAGGTCATGGTTTGTTTATTCCATTCGCCATTAATCCACAAAAAAGAAGAAGGAAATCACGTTGGATATCACCGTTTGATGATGTCATTTATGATGTTGTTCCCCTCTACTGCCAGGATTAAAGACATGAAAAAAACACTACTGGAACAATACTGGGACCAATTAGGTCATATGTATCGACGTAATCTACGTATATATTAAATCACATCGCTACGGTAGTCTTCTATTTTCAAAATTACCAGACATTTTACACTGAAACCATGTGTGATTTCCTGTGTGATGTTAACTGCAAAAATGTTCATGTCCAAGCAGCTTGAAGTATGTTTATGTATTTAGCAGATGCTTTTGTCCAAAGCGACTTACAAGTGAAATAGAACACAATCCTATGTTTAGCGGCGCAGCGGGGCTAGGCAGCTCAAAAATAACCAATCAGAAAATAGATGGAAATGCCGTCTGTACCGCGCAACGCTGTAGTTTTTTAGCTGTAGTAAAAAAAATGGCGTCTGGTGACAGCGCAGACGTCTTTCTTTAGAAGAAACGCTTTTGGTGATTCCACTTGTTGTTGTTGTTGTTGTTGTTGTTTTAAAGACATTCAGGTCATTTAGAACAGAGGAAAGAGCCGCAGCGAACTCCATTTCAGTCGCCATGTTTATGACAAACTCTGCGTTATGGTGTGTGACGTTACGCATGCTACTCGGTGCTGATTGGCTCGGTTAGAATTCTCACGGGGGGGGGGGGGGGGGGGTGTTTGAATAGGAGAGTTCCCAGACCCTTTCTGTGCAGAGTTAAACAGAGGAGGAGTCTGGCAGGCCAGGCTAGCTGCTTCTAGGATGAACCTGATCATTTCCACACCGCGGCCTGTTCTGATCAGCCCCAAAGACTATAATGGATTCAAATGTTTTTTCTGCAGGAGAACTGGAAACAGAGTTTCTCTCCTTGAATACATTTAAAACCAGACCGAGATGCCTTGAGATGGATTCGCTGTGTTGTAACTGCCTTCTGTAATTTTGTACATAACATGTCTGTAGCTGAAAAAATTGTAGCTAACTTTTGCTGCCTCTTGGCCAGGACTCCCTTGAAAATGAGGTGTTTAATCTCAGTGGGACCTTCCTGGTTAAATAATTAATTTGAAGCGCCGCTGATGCTTCCAGTGTGACGTCGGGGTTACAGTTGTTTTATGATTCTACTGAAAAAAGGTGATAAGAAATGTTAGGACCCAGGTTAAAGATATGCTGATTGAGCAGGTATATTTACGAGGTGTGTGTGTGTGTGTGTGTGTGTGTGTGTGTGTGTGTGTGTGTGTGTGTGTGTGTGTGTGTGTGTGTGTGTGTGTGTGTGTGTGTGTGTGTGTGTCCTTGTGCATCCAGATGGTGAGGTGAGCGTGGACTCTCTGTCACCAGCTCACACTCTCAGCTCCGTCCCCTCTCCTGCCTCTCTGGAAGTTTTGTCTCCCTCTTCTTTCCAAGTAAGACATGTCCTCCTCTCTTCTCCCCACCTCATTTCCTGTATTTGAATAAAATTTCCATTGTAAATATGTGTCATTGCCATTGGGGTTATTTGCGTATTTGCTCATCTTTCTGTGCCGCTGGGGTAAAAAGCAACATCTGTTCTTATAGTAATCAAACGGCAGCTCTTTGCATTTGGGGAGTGACACATACGGACTTGAAAAACTTATTAACAGACGCCTTTAACACCTTGTCTTGGTAATTATTAACTGTCATCTGAACTGAGTGTCAGCCCCTCGTTAACAAAAGGTGCTGACAACATCAGCCACATTAGAATAATTTAGCAGGCAGATGTTTTCACAGCGTGTCAAAACAAAGACATGGGTCAGATATTTTACTCTGGACTGACAGTCAACACACGTATTCATTCTGCTAATCCTGACAATGCAAGGACACGTTTATCTGCTGTAAGTCTTTCTATGTTGACAAGGACACTTGATAGATTTTATCTAATGCATCTTAAGTCAGGGGTGCTGAGGAGGAGATATATATGTTTATTCATTTAAGTAATTCACTTTGCTGCACCACAGCTGATTTCTTACTGCTGGTTCTTAAAGAAGAGTTTATCAGAGTCAGGATCCTAAATTAAATCTGCTTCTCCATCTAGGATGAGGCTCTGTCTCCACAGCTCTCTCCAGTGTCCATCTGCTCAGAGTCCAGTGGCTTTTCTGAAATCTCTTTCCCACCGAAGAAAGCAGCAAAAAGGGCCACTCAGGGGACGCGAGGTGAGGAAAAATCTCTGGCTCTTTTAGCACCAGTTTGAGTAAAAATAGACAAGAGTCTCATCAGAAAATGACAGTAGCATTTTGATAAACAGTTCTTTTAAAAAAAAAGAAATGTGCAATTATTGAGTTAATATTCATTTTTTAATAATCATCCCACTTGACCACATTGCAGTAAAAGCAGCTCAGCCTGTCAAAAGGCCCATTCAGACGGGAACAAGGATCGCCATCCAGCCCAGACCTCTGATTACAGCTGTGCCCTTGACCCCAGCAGCAGCGGCTCCTTTACAGGCCAAGACGATCATCATCCAGCCTCTGCAGACCACCATGCTGCCTGTGGTTAAACCCCCTCCAGTTACCATTCAGCCAGCGCCCCCTGCAGGTCAGAGCTTACACTGCAGCACTCTGAGCACAAAGCCTTTCATCACTCAGCTTTGCACGTCAAACCGTTTCACTAGTAACATCTAGATGACTCGGTATCTCATCACTTAGAGGTAATACTATTTTAATGAAATGCTTTGCTATGTCATTTGGTTGGTGTTTAAAAAATGCTGTTTTATTCTTGACCAGTAGAGGGGGTGCTAACATTGGTTAATATGAAATCTCCAGCTTTAGTAAAGAGTACTTAGTAAGACTCATATTTTTTTTCTTAAGAAGGTATTTTTAATTTTGGCTGGCATTTGTTATTGTCCAAAATATTCAGCCATGATAAACATTAAATCAGTACTGTTTTCTCTGTGCTGCGCCTTGAAGTCGTAATTGTAGCTTGTAGCTTTTGTGGTTTAGCTTGCCTGGTGATGTTACATCAACAGCATCTAGGCCAGTATAAATACTTGTGTCATAGCTTGAGACCCCAGTGGGTGGAGAATCTGACCTCTCTCGCGGAGCAATAAAATTCGTCTTTTCCTTTTGACGTGGTATTGTCCAAAAGAGCAGATGCTTACAAAAGAAAATTCAAGTGCAAGTTCTGAGATGGATGTCACACCAAGCCCAGTTTGTTGACTGTTAGAAGTTCAGCTAATTTCTCAATGCTGTTAAAATTCCCTACAGGGCAACATCAATTATTCTTCAAAAAAAGAGATGATTTTTATAGATTGTGGGCAGTAATTTGTTCCTGAACTAACAGCTGCACTCAATATTTTTAACTGTTTTTGCTCTAGCTTCATAAATCTTTTTACATTTTGGATAAAAGACGAGGTGTTGGCAGCTCCTATATTTATCAGCAAATCTAACACATCCACATGATGAGCATCGACACGCTGTTTAGAGATCGGTGGGTCTGTCTGAGCGATGGTCTCTGGCACAGATTCAGGTTCACTCTTGGCACTTTCGGTGTGAAACAGAACATGAATAAACACAGGTTTGTTGAGGTTTTGCACGTTTATTTCACTTTAGGGCTGAACACACATGCATGTTCATGCTTAGTCACACACCTCTCAGTTTGGAATGTGAAGATTTAGGACCACAGGTCAAGATGGCGAACATCTTCTCCACCTGTACTCGAAGCATTTAGATCTGTGATAAAGACAGGAGGCTAATGTAGGTCACCAGAGGTGGGGAGAAGAGAGGTTGAGGGAGCAGGACTTAATTTAAACAGGTGGGTTAACATTTGTATTTATTCTTAAATCATTACCAGAGATTCACAGAAGTTTTATGAGTAAAATGATGAGAGTCCAGATCATCCACAGACCATACCGCCCCATAATCTGATGTGCTGTTTTGTAGTTTTAAGCGGTTATCTTGATTAGCTGCAGATTTGATTGCATTTCAATAGTTCATAGAGGTAAATCCACCCTCATACTTTGCATTTATTAAGTTAGTCCTCTGGGATTTAAACCTGGCGGCAGCATTTGAACAACCCTGATGGAGTTTTGACCCATCACAACCGCTGCATACATGCTAACATCAGAACACTGGTTAAATATGATCTTGTGTCATACGCAACTCAGTTTAACCCTCTAAGAACCAGAATGCACCCAGATGTAACGATAATGACAGTGTGCATTAATCAGTGTTTTCACACTTGAACGGATGATTACAGTATAACGTGCACCTGTAATTTGCTAACGTGCATACGCTGTGTTTCTCCCAGGCCTTCCTGTTGTGCTGTCTCAGCCAAGCCAGTTGCTGCAGATCCAGACGCCACACGCCGTTCCTGGTAGTGTGGTTGCCATACCAACGCTCAGCCAGGACAAGCCTGTTCCTGTAGCTGCACCGCCACTGGTTTCTGTCACTCTTCGGACCCATTCCTCAGATGAAGAAGTGAGTTAGTTAATGCTCAGATATAAGCTATATCAACAGGTGAGGACACAAACGTGCGCTTCAGCTGTGCATATTTTTGTTTACGTAGTTTAGATTTGTTTGCTTATAGTCAACTCTTGAATGTGAGACTATAGAAAAGCCTGGAAGATGAAGCCTCTTCTCAGTGACTCTCTTAGCTTTATACAGAGTCAGTCTTGCCTTTATTTTTTTGATGTGTTAATGTGGTTCCTAGTTGACCTATTTCTGTTCTCACACGTTGAATAAATAAAATAAGCCGTTTCTTCTGACGCTAAGTTTAGGGAAAAGTTAGTGATTTGTAAACATTTCAAGGCCCACTGCAAGACCTGACAGATGTGTGGTTGACCAAACAAAAAGTCAAACACAAGCTGTTTGACATCTTTGTGAAACAAGTTTTGTTTGAGTTTGGGCATTTTGGAAACACATGGCTTAATTTAATATCCTTGTCAGCGATCTGCCCAAAGTGGAGGAGTTTTACCTCCTTCTCTCCATTTTCCTGTCGGTTCTGGTGGACTTTAGGTTTGACGGTTGATTCCTTTAGTTGCTGTAGTACTGTCGATGTGCTAGTTAGCAGTTTCAAATGCAATAGTCTTTTTAACAATGTAAAATACCTTTAGACATAGTGTTTGAGTGCGTGCGCTTGCATGCTGCTGCACAATTTTGAATTTTCTACTCCGACGAAGATGGGCGCCGTTTCCCTGTATGAAACCACGGCATTGTGGTTTTCATGGTGACATGGATCCAGTCCAACCCAACCACCTTTATCTTAACATTATTTTGTATTATTTTCCTTATTTTTACAGACTATTAACTTTAATTTCTCTTAAAATGTAAAAAGTGTTGCTGGGAAGGCATTTGTTCCTTTTATAATTGTGATAATTGGGGTATTTTCTCACCAAAATGGGAAAAGTCATTACACTGCACGGACCATACCACTCAGTTTAGGCACTAATGGCATTTTATTATAGATCTCCAGACCAAGAACATTTTAATAGTACACAGAAATATAAAGATAAGTGTTATTGTTTTTGTGTGAGCAAAGAACACATTTTTTAAAATGAGCCAAAACAGTTAATGGAGAGTTCAAATTCAAAGATACTTTATTAATCCCAGAGGGAAATTATTAGAGTTTCAGTACACACAATTCTACAGTGGGGATGGGGAGCTGCTGACGTCAACTGGGGCTATAGTCGGACGGTGGAAGGAGTACTTTGAGGAGCTCCTCAGTCCCACCTACGCTCGTTCCGAGGAGGAACCAGAGCCGGGAGACCTGGGGATGGACTGTCCAATCTCGGGGGCAGAATTTGCTGAGGTAGTCAAACAACTACACAGCGGCGGAGCCTCGGGGGTGGATGAGATTCGTCCTGGGTATCTCAAGGCTATGGATGTTGTAGGGCTGTCATGGTTGACACGTCTCTGCAACATTGCATGGTCATCGGGGGCAGTTCCTGTGGAGTGGCAGACCGGGGTGGTGGTCCCCATCTTTAAGAAGGGTGACCTGAGGGTGTGTTCCAAATATAGGGGGATCACACTCAGCCTCCCTGGAAAGGTCTACTCCAGGGTACTGGAGAGGAGGGTCCGATCGATAGTTGAATCTCAGATAGAGGAGGAGCAATGTGGTTTTCGTCCTGGCCGTGGAACTGTGGACCAGCTCTATACCCTTGCAAGGGTGATGGAGGGGGCATGGGAGTTTGCCCAACCAATCCACATGTGCTTTGTGGATTTGGAGAAGGCTTATGACCGTGTCCCCAGGGGCACCCTGTGGGGGACGCTCCAGGAGTATGGTGTGGGTGGCTTTCTGGTAAGGTCCATTCAGTCCCTTTACCAGAGGAGCGTGAGTTTGGTCCGCATAGCCGGTAGTAAGTTGGACCTGTTCCCGGTGAGGGTTGGACTCCACCAGGGCTGCCCTTTGTCACCGGTTCTGTTCATTACCTTTATGGACAGAATTTCTAGGCGCAGCCGTGGTGTGGAGTGTGTCGAGTTTGGTGGCAGGAGAATCTCGTCTCTGCTTTTTGCGGATGATGTGGTCCTCCTAGCTTCATCCAGCTCTGACCTTCAGCTCTTGCTGGGTAGGTTCGCGGCCGAGTGTGAAGCGGCTGGGATGAGGATCAGCACCTCCAAATCTAAGACCATGGTTCTTGACCGGAAAAGGGTGGCTTGCCAACTCCGGGTCAGGAGAGAGGTCCTACCTCAAGTGGAGGAGTTAAAGTATCTCGGGGTCTTGTTCATGAGTGAGGGTAGGAGGGATCGGGAGATCGACAGGCGGATTGGTTCAGCGTCTGCAGTGATGCGGACGCTGAGCCGATCTGTCATGGTGAAGAGGGAGCTGAGCCAGAAAGCCAGGCTCTCGATTTACCGGTCGATCTACGACCCAATCCTCACCTATGGTCATGAGCTTTGGGTAATGACCGAAAGAACAAGATTGCGGATTCGAGCAGCCAAAATGAGTTTCCTCCGTAGGGTGGCCGGGCTCAGCCTTAGAGATAGGGTGAGGAGCTCGGACATTGGGGAGGGACTCGGAGTAGAACCGCTGCTCCTCCGGATCGAAAGGAGTCAGTTGAGGTGGTTTGGGCATCTGGTCAGGATGACATACACCAGAATCACCAGGATGTATGTTCTGTTTAGAACGCAGGTTTTTTGGGTGTCGTTGAACCTTTTGTGTGTTTATGTTGGGTGGGAGCATTTTTAATAATTTTAAAAACCTGTTTGTTGCTTTTTCTCTTTTTTTAAATTCTCCTTTTCTTTTGTATAGCTGTGTAGACTTAAATTTCCCGTGCTACTGATGTACAGGCACGTTCATTTTCTTGTTAGACTTCTGTTCTGCTGCAGCAGTTTCTGATTTCTTTTACTTGTCTGACCTTGTAGTTAAGTTGGCAAAACGAGTTCTACCACCCCACCCCCTCTGTTATTCTGCTTTATTGTTAGCAGAACATTTTCATTTAGCTTCACCACGACACTGCCAAGCCTTTGACTGGAAACAAAGCTGCAAAAATACATTTGAATTCATATAAAAACATGATGTAATTGAAACGTATGATTGGCTTTGTAATCAACGACGTTTTGGATAGTGACAGCATGAAAAGTGTCCAGGTTTTTATTGTTTAGCACTGAACAAAACCTCCATACACATGAAAGTAAACAGCTTCAGCCATTACCTAACATCACAATATTTTTTTTTTGCGTTAGTCTGGGAAATTCTTCTAGAGTTTAACAATGTTGGGACTTGTCCAGTGATTGTGGGTACAAATGAGCGTGGAGACACTTTTTTGTGCCAAGCTGAGAAAATGATTGTAAGAAATTCTTCACTCCAAAATCCAAAACAAACATACCCCTTTGCTAGTTTTTAAGCCAATCAAGTCAATAAAGTTGACAATAGGTGATCCAAGGGAGGAGGGTGTCTGAACATTTTTATGATGAGGAGAATTGTTATTCTTTGTTTCTCAAGAGGAAATAGTAGAAGGTAAAAAATAATAGCGGTAAAGAGCTTTTTAAAGTTTACCCAAAAGGGCAGGTTGTGATCTCAGCACTTCGGGGATTTCACTTTGAGAATCTGATCATTCACACACTGTGTGAGAGTGTGTGCTGCTGTGTTTGTACCCACTGCAGCTGTGCTCACTGAGGTTTGGATGGTGGTAAAATTACTCTAAAATGATGACATGTATGTGCCAGGTGTTGCTGTGTCTTCAGTATGCCTATGGGCCTCACTATATTTGGTCCGTATAAGCCCGGGTGTTTAAGTGGCTGCTGACGATTACACGCCTCAGGCAGGTGGTGTGAAGGGCGAACCCTTTTGTGACAGCTGTAAACAGCCATCAGGGATTGGGTCAGTGTGATGTTGTAGGCTACTACACAACCAGGGATTTAAGTGTGTGTGCGTGGCCCATGTGTGTGTGCTCTTGACAAAAATAGAAAGAACAAGCTGGAAAGTTGTTTAGGAAGAAACTTCTAGAGATGTAGTTCTGGTTGTAACTCTTACTGAAGAATTTCCTTTCAAGAAGTTGGTGCTCTGAAAAATTCTGGATACGATTACCTCCTAAGCAATCTTTAAAGGGGTCCTAGAATATTTATTTATCTTTACATTTGGAAACTGTTTTTTGAGCTTTTATATAACACAATGAAACTTTGTTGAGGCTCTAAATGGCCCAGGAGTCCTGATAAATGCAACCCTTTTTTGTAACGCCTCCTTCACACTGGAGGCATCAGCGGCGTGGAACGTTTACTTGCGTGCTTCGCTGTGTGCCAGTCCACGCTAGAAGAGTCTCAGCTGCTGAGCGGTTTCTCTACTGTCCTCCTAGCTGGACTCGCTATACCACAAAGTTGCTCAAGACTTCAAAGGTTCGTTTACGCCATCCGCTATTAAACAAAAAGGAGAAAGAAATCGCTTTTGATATTGTTTGATGCCATATATAATGTTTTTCTCTCCACTGCCAGAATTAAAGCCATGCAGAACACACCTTTGCCCTTCCCAACCAGTGCTGGGAGTAAATAAACCATTAGGTCACTTGTGTTAATTTACATAGGTATGAAACCGCATTGCTATAAAAGTCTTTTATTTTGAAAATTACCAGACATTTTACACTGAAACCATGTGTGATTTCAGTGTTTCCCCTAGGAATATTTCCAGCTGTGGCGGGGGGGGGGGGGATTATGACACGTCTCTAAAGTAAACATTTCTAGTGCAGAGTGGAGCCAACTCTTAGAAGCACTGATTTGATCTCATTTCAGAGAAAAATAGAACAGGTCAGATGCACCTAATAAATAAAATTACTAACAAACTCAGGAATCTGTTTCTTTGCTTCATTGTTCTGGTGCTGAGAATATCACTAATGCGGATCAAAGGAGATACACAGATAAATGCACCTCTTATTTATTATTTGGAGACTACATTTACTGCAGCTGGCAGAGGCAGAGATTTTTTCTATTGATACACGGAATTTACAGAATCATTTTAAATTTTAATAGGGGAAGACTGCAGGAGGGAGCGGTAAAATACAAGGGGTCCCCAGCAAAAACAAGAAACTTTACGAGTCTGATGAAACCCGCTGGTTTTCCTTCAGGCAGTCACAGGGCAGCTCCAACGACCCAGTGGCTGTGCTGGGTCAATGTTATCGAGCTCAGTCCGGCTCGGCGGTGAACGAGCCGAGGCGACGTCATGCTCAGCTTAAGAAGAGGTGTTATTTTCCCGCTTCAGAAGAAGCGTCCAACGTGTTTTTACGCTTTCTCCGAGACATGTCACGTCGCTAAGTTGTTAGCGCCGTGCGTTAACACGTCAATAGTGCAGCGTAGCCTGCTGGAGGTTTTAAGGGTTCAGATGAAAACACCCAACCTCTCAGGCTCTCACACATCAATCTTAAGTTGTCACTGTTGTGCTCACGCCGTAATACAGTATTAGATGCGGTTAAAGTCAGACATGAGAAAATGAATAAATTTTACATGAATAAGTGATGCTTAGCCTGGTGGGGGGAGGAAAACCTGGCCTAATAAGCACTGGAAGAAACCCTGTCAAGATCATCAACACTCATTTATCTTAACGCTATTGAAACATGTAAACCAAAAAGCATTATATCCACTGCTACCTTTCTAATTTTAAACTCAGTAACTTATGCTGTGACTTCACCTTGCCCTGCCTGCTCCTCCTTGCTGCCCGCCGGCTGTGATCACAAGCGACAACATAGTAGACATTCCCAGCAACCTTGTGGAAAAGGTCAGTACCAGCAATTCAATTCAAAGAAACTTTATTAATCCCAGATGGAAATTAGAGTTTCAGTACACACAATTCTGAGATCAGACATACATACATCGGCATAGACACATGACAAGAATTGGTGACTGGTCATTCGCAACCCGAGTCGCGCTACATTAATAGAGATCAGAGGGGTTTATATGAGGATTGGGTCAGGTGGAGGGAAAAAAAGGCACTTCAGAGTTACCCTCCACAGGGAGGGCAGCTTTGCCATGCAAAAAAACACCTCAGACAGAAATGCAACAGACTTCAGACATTACACAACATAAGTGTCCACTAGGTGGGGTTGTAGGGTTTGGGACTCTCCACACATCAGTGAATGCAGCCGCAATAAGCAGCGCTCGTCACCTCAGTCTGGACAGGGGTGGGAGGTCATTGGGTTTAGAGGGCACTTTGACTCCTGGAACGATTCAGCGGCCTTCACAGCTCGTAGTCCCGCCCAGGCTGGGATAGGGAGACAGAGTTGCCATGGCGACGGCAGCATTCCACATTTCTTCCGAGGGGGAGTATTCGTTTCAGCCTCAAAGGCTCATGGGCACCAGATTCAGATAAGAAATTGTTTTAGGGCCAGACAGAGATAATTTCCTCTCTGTCTTAAAGTTCTGTTGGTCCTCAACCCCTCTGAATCCAATAATGGCGTAATTAATCTTAATCGCATCCATCTTTTGTGCCAATGCATGAATCTCAGCCAGTGTTCCAAGCTTACGACTCATCTTGACAATTATGAGTCTGTGCATTCACAGCGCGGTATAATCCATCCCTGAGCTCCGGGAAAGAGCCAATATTCCTCGACAGCTCGTTAATTTTCTGGTAAGCCAGGTAACCTCTCAGGCCAAAAAGCAGGAAACCTGACACCAACACCACGAATATCTACAGACAGTTGAGATAAGCAAATCAGGTTCCACTGTTTCCAGGAGTCCATGATATGCCCAACTGGATCTGTCCCAGAGGGGCACCTGGGAGCCCCTTCTCCCGTACTCATCGTTGAAAAAATTTTGTCAATCGCGTTGAGAGACTAACTGACTAGGTCCATTTTAGTAATTTCAGTTTCCAGTTTTCCAGAAAAAATGCAGAAACGCCGTACACCCAGAGACCGACAAAGAGCCTTGGGATAAGATAGGGAGAGGAGGAAAAAAGCGTCTGTACTCTCCAAGAGCCGGAAGAAGAAGTAGAACAGTTTGACTGTTCTACTTCTTCTGTTTGGCTGCAGTCAAACTGTCCCCAGAACAGTTTGGCTGCAGCCATTACAAAATAAATTTTTTGCATAAAGCAGGTCGAAGACAACGCAGACTATTTGATATGATACCTTTTATACCCAAAGCTGCTAATATTCAACAACAAATAAGTAAAAGTGGTGTTGAATTCTAGAACCCCTTGATAATCACAAGTTCCTCGACAATATTGTGGATGTCTGTCTGCTGGAAGGTGTCGTTCTCCTCTCGCCAGCTTTTGCTTACTTTTGTTGTTGAGCAGGTGTTTTTCATTTGAGTGACACCCAGTGATCAAATTAATCACATTTCCCCTTTTAAATTCATTCGATTTCTCATCTAAGTTGATCCCCACAAAAGCAGTTGGGGAAAACTTTCCCAGCGTTGACTTTTCCCACCGAAAAGTCAAGAGTTTGAGCCAGAATTGGTGTTAACCTCATAACCATTCAAGAGGACTCTATTGTTGAAAAATGCCACTCCGTCATTTTAAATGCGCTCGGCTCCAACTTCCCCTCCACAATCTCGTCATTGCTAAGGCAATATGAAGTCCCCTATTCCCCACTCCTCACTCCCAGCGTTCCCAGGCTTAGGCTGGTGGCACGGCTCCCAGTTTTGGGGCTGGGAGACGGAGGGGTTTCTCAGGAGACGGAACACAAATACAGCAATCCAAATAACTTAATCACCAGCAGAGCTATTAGGCCCAGGATACTAAAGATTTACCCCGAGGAGGGCGTTTGTGTTTAAAAAAGACCTGTGCAGTAGTGGCTGCAGACTGGATGAACAATGAAGGAGAGTCTCCGACATCAGTTGTGTTCATTTAAAAGAGGTCATGTCAAAATATGCAGTACATGTGTTTGCATGCACCTGTGATTTCAGTTTTCAACTCACTGATGTCATATGGGAATGAATGCAATATTTAGTTTATTCTTGATTTATTGATTAATTTATTTTCAATTGGCAGCACGTGTTTAATGTTTAGGCTTGTATAAGAGCAGGGATGCACACTCCTGGTCCTGGAGGGCCAGTATCGAACAGGTTAAAGTTTTAACCCTGTTTCAACACACCTGATTTCAATCAGCAGGTAATCAACAGGCTTCTGCAGAGCCTGATGAGCTGCTGCACAGGTGATGCAACCACTGGATCAAGTGTGTTGGAGCAGAGAAACCAGGATTGGGCACCGCTGTATTAGAGAAATCGTCACATAAACAAAGACTAATGCTGAAAACCATCTGTTTATGTGCAGAGTGACTTTGTGTTTAGGAGAAAAATGATTGCAGTTCCACTCGCTATGGATGAACTCCAGACCTATAGAGGATTTGTTTATGTGTCTCTAATGTGAGCTCGATTCTGAAAGATGGAGGCTCTCCATAAACACACCCCTCGTTTCAAAACAAAGGCATCTCTGGTGACCTCTTGACCACTTAGGTTGTGTTGTAAATGTTTACATGTGGGAACCAAATCGGGGGCATTTTGGGGCTTTTTGTTACTCAAGTAAGACAGCAATTATTTGTTTAAAGTGTTTTTAGCCTGGTGACACAACTCAAACACATGTTTATTTTTCTTTCTGTTCGTTATAAATTGAAACAGCAGTGAAGTTCATTTAGGTGCCGTAAATAACAAAGCCAATCCATCTCCTTCTGTTCCAAGTGCTTTTTTTTGTGTTTCTTTGATTTTTAGTTGCTTTTTAAAAATGTAAACGCAACATTTAACACCTTGTGTTGTTTCTAGGGTTGTTTACAACATGTTGCACATGTCCTGACCTCATGGACTGGATAAAACTCATAAATATAGAAGCAGTTATACATACTGATGCAATAATTTTCTTTTGCATTTCATGGTATGCATAACTCACTTTATACTTCTATGTGTTGTGTGTAATTTCTTAAGGAGAAGAATGTAATAAATGGAAAGCATTTTTTATGCATATTGACATAAAAATCTAGACAAATTTGGTGTCATGAGAATTAAAGAAAAATAACCTAATCAGCCCAACAAGTCAGGGACCATGTTGTCCGTATTTTTCTTTAAACATCTTTGGTGTGTTCTTGCTGTGTTGAAATTCTAATTCCATCTTTTAGTTCTTTTTAAAACACAGGTTTTATTTTAGCCGCAAACGAAACGTTGCAGGTAAATAAAACCTTTCTGTGTTTTAAAAAGAACTAAAATATGGAAGTCAGGGACCACTTTCACTAACACTCCTTTTCTCTTTGAAAATGTGTGTTTTACACATAAAGGATGAAATAGGTGAGTTATAAATGAAGTCATTCATAGTTCTTTTATTCCGATTCTAGTCAAAGTTCTCCCAGAGGCAGCAGCGCATGATAAAGAACCGGGAGTCTGCATCTCTGTCTCGAAAGAAGAAGAAGGAGTACCTGCTCTCGCTGGAAGCTCGTCTGAAAGTGGCGTTATCTGAAAACGAGGTGCTCAAGTGCGAGAATGGCAACCTGAAGAAACAACTGGAGGGTCTGCTGAGTGAGGTGAGAGACTAGTACTACACTACAGGCTGCATTTCTGCAGAGATGAGGGAGGGAGTGCTTTGCTGAAGTGCATAAAAGTAGCCATCCATCCATCTTCATCCGCTTATCCGGAGTCTGGTCGCGGAGGCAGTAGCCTAAGGCAAGAGGCCCAGACTTCCCTCTCCCCAGCCGTCTGGGCCAGCTCCTTCGGGGGAATCCCAAGGCGTTCCCTGTTCAGGTGAGAGACATAGTCCCTCCATCGTGTCCTGGGTCTACCTTTAGGTCTGGTTGGACGTGCCCGGAAAACCTCACCAGGGAGGCGTCCAGGAGGCATCCTGACCAGATGCCCGAGCCACCTCAACTGGCTCCTCTCGATGTGGAGGAGCAGCGGGTCTACTCCGAGCCCCTCCCGAATGACCGAGCTTCTCACCCTATCTCTAAGAGAGAGCCCAGCCACTCTTCGGAGAAAACTCATTTCGGCTGCTTGTATCTGCGATCTCGTTCTTTCGGCCACTACCCAAAGCTCATGACCGTAGGTGAGGGTAGGAACGTAGATCGACCGGTAAATCGAGAGCTTCGCCTTCTGACACAGCTCTCTCTTCACCACGACAGACCGGTACAACACCCACATCACTGCAGATGCAGCACCAATCCGCCTATCGATCTCACGCTCCAGTTTTCCCTCACTCGTGAACAAGACTCCGAGATACTAAAACTCCTCCACTTGGGGCAGGACCTCATCCCTGACCTGTTTTCCCTCGCCCAGACGTGGGTCACTGGGCCCCCCTCTGAAGCCAGGCCTGGAGGTGGGGCACGTTGGTGAGTGCCTGGTGGTCGGGCTTTCAGCCATGGAGCCCGGCCGTGCACAGCCCGAAGTGGAAACGTGGGTTCCCCTTCCCATGGGCTCACCACTTGTGGGAGGGGCCAAAGGGGTCGGGTGCAGTGTGTGATGGGTGGTAGTCGAGGGCGGGGACCTTGGCGATCTGATCCTCGGCTACAGAAGCTGGCTCTTGGCACGTGGAATGTCACCTCTCTGGTGGGGAAGGAGCCTGAGTTGGTGTGTGAGGTTGAGAGGTTCCGACTAGATATCGTCGGACTCACCTCAACGCATGGCTCTGGCTCTGGAACCAGTTTCCTTGAGAGGGGTTGGACTTTCTACCACTCTGGAGTTGCTCCCACTGAGAGGCGCCGAGCAGGGGTGGGCATACTAGTTGCCCCCCCCCCCCCCCCCCCCCCCATCTTGGTGCCTGTACGTTGGGGTTTACCCCAGTGAATGAGAGGGTAGCCTCCCTCCACCTACGTGTGGGGGGGGACGGGTTCTGACTGTGGTCTGTGCTTATGCACCAAACTACAGTTCATACTACCCACCCTTTTTGGAGACCTTGGAGGGGGTGCTGGAAAGCGCTCCTTCCGGTGACTCCCTCATTCTGCTGGGGGACTTTAACGCTCACGTGGGCAACAACAGTGAGACCTGGAGAGGTGTGTTTGGGAGGAACGGCCCCCCTGATATGAATTCGAGTGGTGTTTTGTTATTGGACTTCTGTGCCAGTCATGGATTTTCCATAATGAACACCATGTTCAGACATAAAGGTGTCCATATGTGCTCTTGGCACCAGGATACCTTAGGCCGCAGCTCGATCGACTTTGTTGTTGTTTTCATCTGACCTGCAGCCGCATGTCTTGGACACTCGGGTGAAGAGAGGGGCGGAGCTGTCAATTAACCACTACCTTGTGGTGAGTTGGCTCAGCTGGTGGGGGAGGGTGCCGGTCAGACTAGGCAGGCCCACGCGAGGGTTTGCTGGGAACGTCTGGCAGAGTCTCCTGTCAGAAGGAGTTTCAATTCCCACCTCCGACAGAACTTCCAAAATGTTCCAGGGGAGGCGGGGGACATTGTGTCTGAATGGACCCTGTTCCATGCCTCCATTGTTGAGGCGGCCGACCGGAGCTGTGGTCGCAGGATCGTCGGTGCCTGTCGTGGTGGCAATCCCCGAACCCGCTGGTGGACACCGGCGGTTAGGGATGCTGTTAAGCTGAAGAAAGGGTCCTTTCAGGTCTTTTTGGCCTGTGGGACTCCAGAGCCAGCTGACGGGTACCGGCAGTCCAAGCGGAACATGGCTTGGGTGGTCACCAAGGCAAAAACCCGGGCATGGGAGAAGTTCGGTGAGACCATGGAGCAAGACTTCCTTATGACTTCGAGGAGATTCTGGTCCAGCATCCGGCGCCTCAGGGGGGGAAAGCAGTGCGCTACCAACACACTCTATAGTGGGGACGGCGTGCTGCTGACGTCTACTCAGGATGTTGTGGATTGGTGGGCAGAATGCTTCAAAGACCTTCTCAATCCCACCGACACGTCTTCCAGTGAGGAAGCAGAGTCTGGGGACTTTGGGTTGGCCTCTCAAATCTCTGGTGCTGAGGTCACTGAGGTGGTTAAAAAGCTCCTCTGTGGCAAGGCTCCGGGGGTGGATGAGATCCGCCCGGAGTTCCTTAAGGCTCTGGATGTTGTGGGGCTGTGTTGGCTGACACGGCTCTACAATATCGCGTGGACAACGGGGGAAGTCCCACTAGACTGGCCGACCAGGGTGGTGGTACCCTTATTTAAAAAGGGGGACAGCAGGGTGTGTTTCAATTACAGTGGGATCACACTCCTGAGCCTTCCTGGTAAGGTCTATTCAGGGGTTCTGGAGCGGAGGGTCCATCGGGTTGTTGAACCTCAGATTCAGGAGGAGCATAAAAGTAGCAAACTAGAATAATAAAAAAGGAAAAAAAAAATTGTACTTTTAGAGATGATTTGAGTCTGCCGTTTTTATTGCTAATCTGTTTCCATCCTCTTTCCTGCAGAACACAGTACTGAAGGCAACGGCGCCTAAGAGGAGAGCGGTGTGTCTCATGGTGGTCCTGGTGTTTCTGGTGCTTAATGTTGGACCGATGAGGTGAGTCCCAGACGGTGAACATCTGTATTCCTACATGTTCTCTGCACAGTAATTTGATTTGGTGTCCAAACCAGAAGAATGCAGATGATGACAGATACTGTCGCTCAACACTAAGTGTACTGCAGAGATTGCACATGTCTTTGATTACTGGAGGAAAATAAATGGGAAACCCCATGACTCAATGTTAGATATTTTATAATGTAAAAGGTTACTTAAAACAGAGATGAACATGTATGAATGATGTAACATTTTCCAATTCATTTCAGCTCTGAAATCCATTGGTGAATTTATGAGCGCTTGAACTGAACGTGGTCTAAATTTAGCCAGAGATGCATGACTGCATGTGAGGTGCACGTAGCCACAACGTTAGAACTAGGGTTAATTCTCAGTGGGATCCTATTTTTGTGTGAATACTGCTGCGTTCTACTGTTGCTGCCTTGGGATTTTATAGGACTTGGTGATTAATGAGTGAAAACGATTCAAAACCCTCCACTGGTTTGTTGTAAAAGTCCATATTTCTCTCCAGGTAGAAAGAGGTCAGAAGTATGCAACATTTTCTAGTGGTAATTTTTCATACCTCTGCTTGTAATAATAACAAATGTGACACATTGTAACCTGTAATGTAAAACCACATTCGGGGTTAAAAAACGAGTTTGATTCCACACATTTAACAGATGAAGGGATTGTGCGATTGCACAAACTAAACCTCCAACAAGAATGACAGCTTGTGTGTTTTTATTTCACAAAAATGTTTGTTTTTGCCCTGGAAATGTTGTTTTTCCACAAAGATATAAGCGTTTAGTCACTGGATCTGATCGTCTACTAAAGGGAAAACCCCCCTTTTCTTCTGTATTTTTTTACTAAACCTCAAACATAAACCTATCAAGCTCTGTGGAAAAATGAACTTTTTCTTTATGTCATCTCCGCTTAAGCCTTTGCGTTTTTTATTTGTCTTCCTTTCAAAAGTAAATCCACTTCTTGATCTTTTTCTATCATCTGTCATCAGTCTGTTTCAGGATGGCTCCAACACCAACTCAAAGGGTTTTCCTGTGCAGCCCAGTGGCAGACACCTGCTGGGTTTCTCACCAGAAGCAGACTCTGATGTGATGACAGACCCTCAGCCCAGCAGCAGAGCATCAGTGATGGCAAACGGGTATGAAGTCAGACCACACTAGCACAAGTCACATCGTCGTGTTTACTTTTTGTGTTCGTGGACCAGGAAACACCTGTGCATTTGCTCAGTCTGAACGAGTGCAGCTGATTTTCGCGTGTGTAAACATGAGCAGCAGCTGATTACCAACTTTGTCCGGTTGACTGCCTTTTGATTGTCTGCAGGCCTCCTGCTAGACTGCAGATACCTGTGTTTGAGTAACAAGGTGGAAAATTAAGGCCAGAGCTTGTTTGACATTAAGCTTTATATTGTTGGGAAGGGCCTATTTTTACAGGCTCTTGTATATTTATCTTACCTTTTTTTTAATGCCTTCAAGGCTTAATGGCGACATTTGATAATTGCATGAATAATATTGCTGTTTGGCACATTACCTGAACCCATACGTCAAGGGGAATGTTTTGCAAGGTGGTCAGAGCATCTAAACGTCTCCATGGCATTACCAGATTTCTGTTATGCAAAACATTCATCAGAGCTATCAGGTTTCTCAGCTACATTTAACCCTCCCACTGTCCTAATGTGTGTGACCCCTCGAGGAAAGTTGACCATTGAGCAGGGTTGATGGTTTATTCCTTGGGTCCATGTGGCAGGGGCGAGGAGTGAGCACCACCTCACCCCTGCCATGTGGACCTCAAGGGATAAACCATCAATCCTGCTCAATGGTCAACTTTCCTCGAGGGGTCACCCATAAAGACAGAGGGAGGGTTAAGCAACTGAGGCAGACGGGAACACATTAGCCTTTACAAATGGGATGATGGTCCCAAACGTGTGATTTGAGGTGGATCTGGAAGGGCACTACTCAGCCTAAAACAGTGCTGCACAGCATTGGTTAATTCAACTCACCTGAGCAGTTTCCCTGCCAGGGTGCACCCCTCATAGGCCAGGGGGGTGGGTGATCTGTATGCTACGCAGAAAAACGCTGGTGTTGCTGGACACTTAGGTCAGTTTTATGGCTTTTTGGCAGACTCTGAACCAGGAAAGGGCTGCGGGCAGCAATCAAGTACACCACTCCCTACCCTACCCTATCAGCGGCCACAGTCACAATGTTGGCCCAACTCAGCCTTGCCAGAAATCTCAACAGAGGAGGGACTAAAAAGAGGGAAAATACCGAACCGTGCTCTTGGAAAAGGTGGTCGGGCTCAGCTGCACTAACCCGAGTTACTCTGAGTAGTGCTCTTTGAAAACTAGCTTTTGAGAGATGATGAGCAGTCTGAGTTAGGGTCCCTCTGAACATGAAGTTAAGTAAGTGCGTGCGCGTGTGTGTGTGTGTGTGTGTGTGTGTGTGTGTGTGTGTGTGTGTGTGTGTGTGTGTGTGTGTGTGTGTGTGTGTGTGTGTGTGTGTGTGTGTGTGTGTGTGTGTGTGTGTGTGCGCGCGTGCGTGTGCGCTCACTTGCCGGAGGCCCCTTAAAAGTTGTGATCAGGCCACAGGGGTCTGACATGTCTCATGGAACTGTTTCCAGGGCATTCAGAGACTCAGTCCAGCAGTTGGCTCACATCAAAGAGGCCCAGGGGAAGGATTATGTTGGTGGTATATGTTTTTTCCTAACAAGCCCACCTCAGTTGGGCGCTGGCTGTGGACAGTGTAGATCAGCACCTCTGGGAGTTTAATCATTCACTGTTAGAGTCATTACACATGTGATTAAAGTCAGAGTAACGTCTGAGTGCCGCTGAGCAGGAATAACTTAGCTGCAGCGTATGGTAACAATTCTGCTGGGTGGTAGCACCAACCCTAACTCTGACATTTAATGATAATCATGTGCAGGATTTTACACGGCTTATGTGTTTGGGTTTGTGATGCAGATGTGAATTTCTGTGCATGAAGCTCTCGCACCTCAATACACATCAAAAACAAACTCAGTAGCATAATTTCTCTTGGCGTCATTTGGGCTACTGATATTGAAGCCATATTGGGTATTTTAATTACAAGCAAGGAAATTATCATGTTTTGCCTCATGCTTTGTTCTGTATACATTTGTTTTCATCAGAACAACTTAAACGTTTGGCTTGTGGAGGTGCATGTTTTCTGTTGTAACAGCTTCTGTCTGCGTTTTAGTGCTGAGGATAAGGCGCTGATGGTTGTGAAAAGCCCCATCTTTCTCAGACCGCCTCTCCCCTGCCAGCCTCCTGTCAACAGGACAAAGTGCATTGAGTAAGTGATGAAATGCTTTGCTGCTTTACATCAGTGTGTTTTTTTAATGTAGGGCCACCGAATCGCTCTGTTTTTATTTCAAATGAAAGAAGAAAAACTCAACATGTTAACTTGACAGGCTGGCCCATGAGTTGAGCGGTTGGGTCCATCGTCATGAGGTGCAGCACACCAAATCCAGGCGCAGCCTCAAACCCAGCAGACCCGTTCTGGTAAATGATCTCAGCATGCTTTTAAAAACACAAACACCCATCTACCTGATACTAGAAGTGTGTATCCTAAACGGAACTACTATGTTATCCAAGCCTGAACTTTTATCTAGAACTCGTGTCCTTTCCTTCATCAGTGTTCCTTCTGGTTTTTAATCCCTGAAAAAGTCAACATAGCACATGGAGAGCTAATGGATTAGGACCCCCTGCTCTTTTCCCATCACTTCTCTTTCTCCAAATCCATCACAGCAGGACCGTTCCTCACAGAGCTGCATTTAGGGCCCCCATTCTTTTAATTTCTGTGAATAAAACAGGTGAATGTGTTTACGTCTCTCATGTTGAGCAGTTTTAACTCTCAAACGTTCATTTGGCTGCTGAAAAAGATTTTTATTGTACTTATTGAAAACTTTGTGTGTGTTTTAGAGTCATGTGAAATTAAATCGGCTCATATGCATGTGTGCTTGACAATGATCTGTTAGTGTGTTTATGTATTATACAGTGTTGCAGATGTTGTGTCGAGTTTTCTTAATTGTTTCATTTAATTGATATAAATTTGCAAAAAGTTGACTCGGTTTGTTCTTCCAGCAGAAAGCCGAGGATGAGGAGGCTGATGTGGCTCAAATTGTGACCGTCCCGTACGCTGAAACTACTGAGGAAAGGTGATCAAAGGTTATCCGATGAAAATAAATAAATAATGGTGTATTTGTTTTCATACAAACATGGGGGAGTCAAGTTGTGGATTTTACTGCTTTTTTTTATTTATTTTTTTTTAGCTTCCTGAAACCTGCTTGTGTTTTTAAAATGTAGCGCCCAGACCTGATATTAATCACCAAGACCTGGATAAGAATTTATTTTAGATTTATTAATGGTTACGTTTTTAAAAAGAACATTAATTTTTTTTAACTTTTGAACTGATAAATATTCTAAAATCTAATTTTCTTATAAAATTCCTGAATTTGATTTTAAAATCTGCTGTTTTCTGTTGTCACATAGATTTTAATGGTTTACGTTGTTGCTGATCTTGCACCTGGAAAACACATTGAATTGCTTCTGTGTTTGAAATGTGCTATACTAATAAAGCTGCCTTGCCTAAAACTTTTCTGTTTATGAAGTTCCACCAATCCGTTATAGCTGAGAGGAGATTATTGCAGCTTTATATATGAAAAACTTTTTGTTTAGTCTCTGTAAGTATTATAGAAACAGCGACATTTCTTTGTTTTTCTTTATTTGTAACATTTTAGAATTTTTTGCCAGAATCTAAATATTTGGAGCTTGATAAAGGGAATCAAAGTTTTACACTAAATAATAATATTTGCTAAATGCATTAACATTTTCTTGCATTTCAGCGTTAATATTTGTGTAATTCCTCGACAGGACTCCGGGCAGTGAGCTGCAGGTTTATTATGCTCCTCAGCACACCTACAGCGACTTTTTCGATGAGCTCAATCGTCGCCCCGACACCTTCTACGTGGTGTCTTTTCGAAGGGTAAGTTCAAACTCATGGAGCACATGACTAATATCTAGAAGACAAATAACGAGCTCTCACACAGTCTGACTCAGTGTTTAAACTGATGACATAAAGTCAAACACAATTCAACTTTAATGGAAATTTTCCCTGCCTGACATTTTTGTTCCGTTTTTGTCCCAGTTTTAACTTGTTTTCAACACAATCATTATATAAAATGACTAATGCTTTATACCAAGGCTGAGGTTCAAATCTTAAATAATAAGTTTGGCTTGTCCTGAAAAAAGAGTCCTAATTTAAGACTGAAAGCTTCGGGATGGGTGGAGCTGCTCTTATCCAGCTGTTTCCTCCAGCAGGGTTCGGTCCATTACAGTCATTGTGTTTTAGAAATATCTAACATCCCCAGCTTTATTCAGTCTGGTGAGAACATTTGAAGCATGTGGTCAAAGATCATGTCCGTTTTTCATTTGCAAATCAGAAAGTTTTGGCTAGAACCTGCCATGGAAACAGCAAACAGAGTGGTAACAAAGGTGTGTTTAAAACCCACTCAGGTCAAGTCTTGAGTTCTGTTGCAGCTTTGCTATGCTGAAAAAGTTTTAAAGATTCTCCAAACTCCAACTTTTTTATTTGATTTTATCTCAATCTTGAATTTTAAATGGTAGGTACATTTTATTTTGTCCTGTACCCTTCTTTCATTCTTTTTGTCAAACTTCATAGCAACAGTATAAAACTGTGGCACTTTTGTCATTTCCTGGAGTAGCATAAAGAATTAGGGCCTTAAAAGTAGAGCTAACTGAATATAGATAGAGGGATAGGTAGATGGATGGAGAGCGAGAGGGGGGGGGGGGTAAATACAGGGTATCCTCGGGTCCTTAAAAAGTCTTAAATTTGCTTTTCCAAATTTAAGGCCCTTAAAAATACAAATAATCCTTAAATACAGTTTCCAAAGGTCTTAAATTACCAAAGGCCCAATAAACAAGATTCTTTTATTTCTATCAAATTTTCGTGAATTTCTAGTTGGTGTTCAGCATTTTTTGTGTATAATATTGGCGTAAGCGGAACCGTACACATTCAGTTGGTTATGAAAGGGTTAGGGGTCTATATTAAATGAGCACATTAGCTGATTAAGCTAGTGGGAGCTTGCGCCATGGGGAAGTGCAAGTTTAATGGTAACTAGATGGCTAGTCCCACGTTCGCGATGTGGTTAGCACCGGTTCCGGGTAATAGTATGGTAATTATAGCTTAAATTTAATTTTTAAAATAGCTTAAATTTAATTCTTAAAATAGCTTAAATTTGGTCAAAGTGGCCGTAAAAAAGTTCTTAAAAAGTCTTAAATTTGGCTCCCTTAAACCTGCAGATACCCTACAAATAGATAGAAATAGATAGATACATATGAATATAGATATTATATGGATGCATGTAAAGATAGATATAGATACATATGGAGATAGATATAGATAGATGGGTAAAAATATAAAAGATAAATGTAAATCAAGTTCTTTTAAGTAGTCATTCATTAGAATAATACCTTTGTTTTGTATTTAGTCTTGAATGGAAATCCTTAACCAATGCTTAGTGATGACATTTATTTTAAGGTTCTTTAAAATACTGTGATTAAGATTTATTTTTATTTAGATTAACCTTTTTACTTTTGTTTATTTGCTTAATTTTGTTTCCTGGGTTTCAGTGAGAAGTTTGTTTTGTTCCAGTCGTAATAGACAGCCAAAGCTCAGTATTTGTTTAGGTCAGACTAATCACCACCCATGGCTAACTTTTTCCCCAGGAGATGAAAACGTTTAACAGTTCATCGTGAATCGTTCTGGCCCTCTCCAGCAGCTGAAGTCACCCTGAGCAGCATTTGGGTTAGGGTTGGGTCACGTTTAGGTCAAGGTTGCTGTAAGCTATGCGTTTGTGTAGCTACAATGATGCAATGGAAAAAACACGGATCTTGTGGTAGGGAAAAATCTTGCAGCACTTTCCTAGTTGTTTTAGCACCTATAGCCAATGTTAATGTGCAGAGGTGAGATTGTGGACACACTGCCAGCTTTTGCCAACTTTAAATGGATCTACAACACACGGTTCAAGGAAGTGCAGTCTGCTGTCGTGAGAGCAGCTGCTGGTACATCATTTTGAGAAATTGAAAGATTGGGCCCTGTCTTTCCCTGCCTCCATTCTCCTTACAGTTACACATTCTCATTTGCTTTTGCTGGCTTCTTACCTCAGGTCCACATTTGAGGCATCAGTGGTGCGAAACAGCTTAATCGTGTGCTTCGCGGTGCTACACCGGGAGAGTTTCAATAGAGCAGCTTCTCTGCTGTCGTCCTCGCTAAATTTGCAAGATCACAAAATTCACTTGTGACTTCAAAGGTCACGGTTTGTTTATGACATCTGACATTAAACCAAAAAGAAGAGGAAGATTTTGTTTGATGTCACTGTTTGATGTCATACAAGATGTTGTTCCTCTCCACTGCCAGGGGATTAAAGCCATGAAAAGCACACGGCAGCACTTCTCGATAGAAGCTGGGAGTAAATAATCCGTCGGGTCACGTGGAGACGTAAACTACATGGATAAGAAATAGCATTTCTGCAATAGTCTTTTATTTTGAAAATTACCTAATGTTTTACACTGAAACTGTGTGTGATTTCCCGTTTAGCCCTAGGTTATCTGCAGATACTGATGTGTCCCAGAAGCGGCTTGTGGCAAAAATAGAGCCACGGTGTGACTGTGTTTCTGGGCCAGTTTGGATCAAAGAAAAGTTTCGTTTTCCTGTGTCACAAACTATTTATTTCATTTTATTCTGTCACAATTTCATTAAACCTAGTTTTTGATAACTTCACTTAAACAGAATTCTTAAGTCTGCTTGACTCTGCTGTGCTCTTCAATCTTTAGATCATCGAGCTGTGCTTGTATTTACAGATTGGTGCAGATTTCATAACTCCAACATAGAACTGGATTCTTTTACATAAACTATGTAAAACTTGAAAACACACAACTTAGCTTACTTCCCATTGAACCATTCACAGTTCCATCGCATGGCCAACAGCTTCAGTTGTAAAGTTTCTGGTAAATTTTCTGGCTGTTTACTTTATAACATCTCCACAGCTTTAATGAATAACTTAAAGCTGATTACTGATAAACACATACAGCCAGCATTTTATTCACTTTCAAGTTCATTTAATCTTCCACCCGATGACCTCCTTTCTCTTTGTTCTCAGGATCATCTCCTACTTCCTGCCACCAACCACAACAAAGGAAGTCGACCCAAGATGTCTGTCGTGTTGCCAGCCATGAACATTAAGGGTGAGTTCTGCTGCACAGACACAACGTTTGGAGCATTTGGTCACTTAAGACTGCATGACAGATGAACGAGAAGCTGGAAACAGATCCACAAACGTGTCTCCCCACATGAATGCACCACTGCTGGTATCAGACGTGTTCAGGGACAAAAAGAAAACTACAGGAAATGTTTTTTTTTGGGGGGGGGGGTTAGATTTTTAGGTTGTCTTCTTGATTTTGTTGTTCATATTATGCTTCAGTGGAAGAGAAATTACCGTAATGTGTTCATTTTAAACTTGCTTTTTGACCTAAGACTAAAATTAACTTGTTTATTTTTAAACCTTTTAACCTCACTTTAGCTGAGAAAACGATAAATGGCCTGACTGTCGGTGTCTTGTTACCAGATGCTTCCTCCCTCTGAGCATTTTATACCATCTCTAATATCGTTCAGACTCTGATGCCGTTATATTTAGCAGTGCTACCAAACACATCCAAAAAAAATCTCTTTGCTTTTAGTTTATTTTCATTTCCTTATATTTTTGTGACTTTTTTTTTCTTTTAAAGTAAAAATAGTTACAGAATTTTGAAGTAACTTTAAGCTGTTTCCTCTGCCCTACTGGTTGAAAGTGGAATTACAACTGCTGTAAACAACCCTGCAGCACTCTGCTGTAGCTAGCTAACAACAAGCTAACACGAGCCAACTAATGCCAAAATAAACCATGAAGTCTAATCTTTTTTTCTATGATCACTATTTGTATTGCTCAAAAAAGTGTTCCTTGATGTGTTAACTTAGAGTTTTCTATATGGACTTGATGTTTTGTTTGGAATTTCTAATTATTTGAGACTGACAAGAGCACAGTATTTTTTCCACTTTGGTGATGTAAAAGGAAAGTTTAGAAGTCTGTTAAACAATAATTAATCTTTATAAAGCCAGTTTTTGTTATGTATTAATCTTTTAGTCTGCCACAATAAGGTAATGTATTTAAATAAAAATAAAGTAAAATAAAAATCCATCAAAATGAGGGCTTTTCTCAGCCATTAGTAGGTGGGATTAAAAAAAGAGATTTATTAGGTGAATTAATGACACCACTAGTAAAACGATCAGCACAGTTGGACAAAAATATTATTATTTGGTAGCAACAAAGTCAGGTCACCGTCAGTCTGTGATTTTGTAGTCTCCTTTAGCTCTCTCAAATTAGTGTAGACCATACCAATGTTCACCAGGGGCGGCGTTAGACCCGGCTACTTGGGCTGAAGCCCCGGATGTTTTATGAAAAGCCCCGGATTTAAATCGCAGAAGTAACATGCAGTACCAAAGTCCAACAGAGAGGGAGCAGCTGGCAGTAGTTTGTATACAGCCTGCCTGAGCCTCCACCACTGAAGAAGAAGCCCTTCAGCAGCCGGCTTCTTCTGCAGTGCCTGGTTTCTTCTACACTCTGCCTGAAACGCATGAGTGAAGATGGACATGAGGACGTGTTTTAGCCAAAAAGTACCGCGACAGAACCCCAGCTTTGATGAGACTGGTGTTGACTCAGGTTTGTGAGTCTTATTTGAAAATCTTTGTTGTGCTGCTGGTTTGCCTAAAGTTAGCTTACTATCAGGTAACGTTGTTGGAGAAAGAAAGGGAATATTTACTATCATCTCACACTAAACACTCACAGGAACAATACTCTGCCCTGAATATGCTTAATATGTAGCTTCAGATTAAAACCTATGTGGTACAAGACAAATATATATGATGTTGACTAGTGCGTGTCACGTGTGTGCATGCGTGTGTGTGTGTGTGTTAAGCCCCGGATCTTCTTCAGTCCTAAATCCGCCCCTGATGTTCACTCTGGTTTTCCCTCTTTGCTTCGCCTCCAAAGACATTACTCTCATACTTTTACTTCCAGGCTCCACCATGAAACCAACAAAAGAGTAAACTTCTTCTTTTTCGTCGTCTTGTTCAGAGAGAGAGAGAGAGGGAAGAAAATTATCTTTTGTATAGCGCCTTTCAACATAAAAAAACACAAGGCCCTTCACAAGAACAAAAAATTTAAAAGATAAAAAATTATAAAACAAAGATTTAAAAGTACGGTTAAAATGAGAAACATTTGTGATAAAAATGTAAGGAAAGGGAGAGAGAAAATTAATAGGAAAGAGGGAAATCAGTGGCTGACATATTGATGATCGGCGAGCTGAAAATGTTAACTGCTAGCTAGGCTTGGGTGGTATCCAAATTGTAGTACCGTCTAGCTTCCTCCACATTTTACCAAGGTGTACGCTATTACCGAGACTACTTTAATCAAGTGGAATTACCAAACTGTTGGTTTAGACCTTCACCGTTCAGAAACGGAATAACAAATATGATTACTACAACAACAATAACATGACACACATAATATTAAACGCAGCTATTAAAAAAATCTTTTTGCCTGAAAAACCAGCATGTTTACCGGCTTCAACCGCTGACTGCAGAAAACCTGCACCCGTTTACCACCCGGTTACTTTGGGGCTAGTCGCGACATCTGGGGAAGGCTGGCAGCTTATTTTCCACCAGAAAAGTGCATTGTCGTCTCTTTTAATAACAGGCTCCAAACTGCTACATCAGCTACGGCTCGCTCCGCTGCGGTGCCGATGGGGCGTTCTTCTTTTGCTGTCATCTTTTGTATCAGAAATACTCCCAAAGTGCAGAAGTTGTGGTTCTTTTATACACCGAGTCACCTGGTCCACGAGCTACCATTTTTCTCTCTGCGCGGTCACATGATGACATCACGTTCCTAAACTTTATGGAACGTCTCTAAAAGCTGGACAAAACATTTGAAACTATTTAAGTAAAATAGAAAATAGAAAATTTAACCACACCTCTTTTGTACATGAAACAACTTTTATTTATCTTTATTTATTTGAATGAGGCGACAGTGGCACAGGAGTTAAGTGCTCGAACTTAACTTAACCCACGTTGCCTGCTGGTGGTGGTCGGAGGGACCGGTAGCGCCAGTGCTCGGCAGCCTCGCCTCTGTCGGTGCGCCCCAGGGCAGCTGTGGCTACATTGTAGCTCATCCCCACCAGTGTGTGAATGTGTGTGTGAATGGGTGAACGACTCATTGTGTTGTAAAGCGCCTTGAGGGGTTCCAGGACTCTAGAAGGCGCTATATCAAATACAGTCCATTTACCATTTATTTATTTATTTTTAATCTTCGTCTCCTACGTGCAGTGATATTTTCATGGCAGTATTGGAACTGACACTGTAGCTATTTTTCAACATTGGCTGTATACGGTAAAGCCGCCCAGGCCTACTGATAGCCTAACAGCTGTAGCTGCATGCTAGTGATGAAACATGACAACACTTTCACATTATATTTGGGTCCACGTTAGGGATGGGTACCGAATTCGGTACTTTTTAAGGTACCGACCGAATTCCACAGTACCGACCGAGCACCGATTCACTTCATTTGAAACGGTGCCTCGTTTCGGTACCCGTCCTTCACAACGAGAACTTGCCTAGACAGCTGCGCATGCGCAAGAGCGTTGCGAGCGTCGCTGCGAGTGAGTTGTAAACAGAGCAGCTCCGGTAGGTAAATAAAATGTTTAAGATAACGTTAGCTTGATTTGTTAGCTTCCGTTTCACCAATGGTGCGTTCGCTTTCTCCTCTGAACTCCGAAATTCCGACTAGAAGAACATGAACATGCTCTAAAGTTTGGCTTCACTTTACTAAATGCGACGGGTGATTGGGTGAAGATGAAATCAGTGACAACGATTTAAGTGTGAGGCATCATCGTTTAAATCTGCTCCAGCAGTTAAATTAACTGTTTTAAGATAACGTTAGCTTGATATGTTAGCTTCCTATGCCACCATTGTTATCATCTAATGGTGCATTTGCTTTCTCCTCGGAAATTCTAACTTCCCAGTAGGAAAAATCAAATGAAAAAGGACGGTAAAAGGAATGAAGATACACAGTAAATTTAGTTCACAGTAAAGATGTTTGCTTCAGTTTAATTATCAACTTATAAAACTACAAGGACGATGTTAAAATACAAACAGTTGTTTGTTATTTATCGTGATATTTATCAAATTTGGTTATATATTGAGAAAAATATATATTTAATTATAAAAGAGAATTAAAAATATTAAACACTCAAAAGTATCGAAAATTGGTACCGTTAAGTACCGGTATCGATTCGTAGGTACCGGGAATTAGTACCGGATCGATTCAAATGTCAAAGGTACCCATTCCTAGTCCACGTCAGATTTCTGAGCAGAGACGTAGCTTGTCTCCCTAGGTGGTGATCCCACTGTGCTTGCTTCTAATGGCTCGTTTGAGAAGCAGCTACCCATTCATTTGACCGCAGACGCGCAAAAGGAAACCAGCAAGAAACATTTTGACACTGACTTTTACATTTGAACGCTCGGTGAGAAAATACCTTGGACTTTCTCCTTTGCGTTTGCTGCCAAATGTTTTCCTTTATGAATCATTAAGACACACAAACACATGTTCTTAATTTCAATGAGCTCATCTAAAGTTTTTTCAACGACCTTCTGATCTGTTTGGCTGTCAGCAGAGCGACCTGAAGTCACGTCATTCGAGGTGTCTGGAAAAAGGGCAGCAAACATTTCATTTTCTGAGCTTGTTCTGTTTGTGTTGTCATAAAGACAGCCTGTTAGTTTTGGCTGCTTATTTTTTCAGATAGATGAAAGCATCCTCTGATTTCTCCTCGTCTGCCTTTGGAAAAACTGTTATGATTGTTGTTTAAGAAAAAACAAAGGAGAGGGAGTTGGTGGAATATGAGCCTCTTAGTCAGCAGGAAAAGTACGCTCAGACATAAAAAAAAAGTATTTTCCTGGGAGAGTGTTGGATAAAGATTGATGAAAGTAAATGTTGTTCTTGGTTCATCTTATCACTGAGGAATGTTGAGGTCCGTATCGGTCAGACGACCCACTGAAATGGCAGTAAATAGTAGAATCCAAGATCTCCTCTTCTACTGATGACTGAAATAACCAGACAATGGTGGCAGTCACGGAGAAATATTAGGTCTCAGAAAAT